ATTACTAGTAATGCTTTTCTAATTTTATTTATTTAACTAAATTTGACGATTAATAAACTTTTGTTAAAATTATAATATATTCCGTAGTTTTCTTATAAATAAAATACAAATAAATAATTATAATTTGTCAAATAAAAAATAGTACTACCGTTACGACTGTATTTACGGCTCCATGGAACACAAGGAGATAAAAACACACGTAACGTTACGGACGAAATACCTAGTAACTTTTGCGGACTTTTGGTGCGGATTACGGATTACGGGCTGTATGTGACGGCACCCTAAAGCCTTGTGTCCACGATACTAGAACTCGGTCCGAGATCTCGGACTGAGGGAAAGTTACTAGAACTCGGATCATGTACACACTGAATTTGGATGCAAAACTCGAATAAGAAGCTCAAACGAAAAAATGCGTTGCGTCCCATTTTTCGGTACGAGTTATTGCGAGTTATTAAATTTTACTAGTTTCTTTTACTATCTGTCAAGACAAAATATAAGATACTTAAAGTGATACGAGATACTGTGAACAATATAAATAATATTTTAATAAGTAATTATAGAATTGAAAAAATAAGAGAAATATAATTCTTAAATAAAATAAATTAATAAGATTAATAATTAATAAGATTTACATAAGTAGTTATTATTAGTTTTAATGCAAATTAAATTAGACATCAAAAATATATTATAACCTATATATACATATTATTTTACAAGAAAAGTATAATAATATATAAAATTGATTTTCAGAAAAAACTTCTTTTATAATAAAAAATGGATAATAAGGAAAATGTTAATATTTTATTAATGTTATATCAACAACATTCTTGTTTATATGTTACAAAAAGTGTTGATTATCATAATCGTATGAAACGAGATCAAGCTTTACAGATAATCTGTAATCAGTACAAAGAATTAACAGGACAACCACTAGCAACTGAAATTGCAAAAAAAAATTAATAATTTAAGATCACAATATCTGGACCATCTAAATAAAATAAAACATTCGAAATCAAGCGGTGCATCACTTGATGATATCTATAAACCAACTTGGCAATATAACATAGATCAGAAAATCATCGTAAAGAATCGTAACTCGATTACAACGCTAACTATATTCAGCCAAGTATAAATATTATTGTTCGAGGACTCGGACCGAGATCTCGGATTGAGTTCTAGCATCGTGGACACAAGGCTTAACAGCCGTCACATGGCTGTCACGCTCGCTGTCAATAGCGACTGCGCATCCTACCTGCGCAAACAAAGAAAGAAATCTTCCTCTATATTTTGCCTCTTTGTCTGTTCTGCCAAAGCATGCATGCTGGGTCTAGAGTCCCTATACAATAGAGTCTGGCCACGTGCGTGTTCTTCTTTATTGGTCAAAACAAGGTTTGAAAAAACATGGCGGAACCAATAGAAATTATTGTGGGAAGCATAATAATTTGAAAAGGAGTAAAATGAGAACATTAATAACAATTAATATTACTCCTTTTTTCAGAAATTTTTTAATTGAAAAACAAAATCTAATTACTATTAATACTCAAAATAATAATACTTATATATTCTATGCCACAATAACATAGTAATAAAATAAAATTTACATTAACACATAAATAAAACACTTATTCTATAAACATTTTGTAACATTACTTAATTATAGACTGCATAGCCATAGTTTTACTATTATATATTGGTTTCACTAGTCAGCCTTTTGTACATGAAATTTTCATTCTATATGCAATAAATCGTTTTATAATTTTTAAACTTAATTGATAACAATTTTTAAGACTTGCACAAGAAACATTTTTCATTTTTTCCATAAGAACACTAATTAAATTAAATTTAATATTATTTAAATGAGGCAAATATTGACGAATAATAAATTCCATGGTAATAAAATATTTAAAAACATCTGTAGTTACAAAAAATAAAGTATTATTTTGATAACATTTTAAGTGCACAAATTTTGCATATTTAAAACTTGTATTATATGCTTTTCTAGTGGGATCTGCGGAAAGCAAATAAAGCAAAAATCCTTTTTCATAATAATTTTTGCATTGTGGAACACAACAAGACGGCATTTTGAAATCTGAAAATTCATGCTTTATTGTACTATTTTATAAAATTGTTTTTTTCAAATACTATTACGAACAATATGAGGTTAAAATTAAAATTTTTATTACAAATAACATTTTTTTATGACATCACAATTTTTTGACCATAATTTTTATTATAATTTAAAAACCACATACAGAATAATTTTACTTACTTTATTATTTGTAGCAAAGCAATAAAACTTATATTTATTTTATAAACAACACTTATAAACGTCTTAACACAAACAACGTTCACATGTATACTGTCGCCATGTTTTTCCAAAACTAATCGAGTGGCCAGACTCTATATATAGGGACTCTAGCTGGTCTAGTTCACGGTGGGTGTTTACGATAATTCAAGTTCGAGTTATAGCGTTTTCGATTATACAGGATTTGAACGACCCAAGATTGGTTAATGACGTCATTGCAACTCTCCACCAATGAAAGACTTGCATTTATAGTAAAATAGTGATTGATCAATCCTAGATCGTTCAAACCCCGTTTATTCGAAAACGCTATTAGTTTCACTAGGACCAAAAAATAAGATATACATAACCATCTAAAACCTTTATGATTCATGACAACTCGACGCTGTCTTGTATTGCTTGAGTTAAATTCATTGAATTTGTTGAGTTTAATAAATATAATTATATACATATAAATATATATATATATAAAATTATATCTATTAAAGAGGTATACCAACACACACATACATACCAACATTATTTGTTTCTTTCATAGACTGATTTGCAGTTGACATTTTTTTATTACAATAAAATTTGCTCAATAAACTCAACAAATTCAATGAATTTAACTCAAGCAATACAAGACAGCGTCGAGTTGTCATAAATCATAAAAGTTCTAGATGGTTATGTCTATCTCATTTTTCGGTCCTAGTGAAACTAACTCGAACTTGAATTATCGTAAACACCCGGTGTAAGGCCGGTATTCATAGTCCGTTCTTATATTTAAGATTGTCTTAAGCACGGACTTATATTCGTTCTCTTCGTCACACATAGATTGTGTCTGACGAAGAGAGCGAATATAAGTTCGTGCTTAAGACGATCTTGAATATAAGAACGGACTATGAATACCGCCCTAAGATTAAGACTAGGGAAGTATAAACGCCCTTATGGCATTCTACGTTATCAACTCTTATGGCCGGAGCACAGACTTTTGCATAAAGCATAACGCATAAGCATAAGGAAATTGATTGGTCCATTTCCTTATGCATTTGCTTATGCTTATATATAGACCAATCAATTTCCTTATGCTTATGCATTACGCATTATGTAAAAGCTTGTGCTCTCGGCTTTAATATTAAGATTAAAACCAAAGCATAAACCGGCCATAAGAATACCGTCCTTAGTTTTGGTACGCGTACTAAACAATCGGTGTAAACCACGGACTAATAGCGTTTTCGAATAAACGGGGTTTGAACGATCTAGGGTTGATCAATCACTATTTACTATAAATGCAAGTTTCATT